AGTGGAAACAGTAGGAATTTCTCCCTTTAATGTATGAATTATATGATGGCATCACCTTTGGGTTGTTCCTTTCCCCTGCCCTCAAACAAGCGGGAGCATGTGACAGCCTTTGGGACTGAACTTACTGCCACAGCTCAGGAACTGGACTTTTAAGAACTACCCTCATTTAATTAACCTTAATTTGTGTAACAGTTCAGCATAGTTCATAGGGTTTGTGTATGCCATAGCAATTTTTCCTGCTTAAGAGCTGTAAGATGAGAAAGCTATTCAGATTTATCCATACTAAAAAATTCCTTTGTTTGTTTTTTCCAGGTGTTGATCCTATTATATGGGAACAAGCCAAAGTTGATAATCCTGATCCTGACAAGTAAGTCCAATAGTCTGAGTATTGCAACAAAACTTGGAAAGGGGAGAAAGATAATAATTGCATAGTACCCTCCAGGTAACTTGCAAGAAGCATATTAGAGAAGAACTTGGCCAAGTGTTGATCTGCTTGCAAACACTGAAGATTACTAGAAGTGCCTCTGTTAATCCCTTTACCCATTTAGGTGCTTAGGAGCTGTCAGGATAAAGAGCCTTACTCACATGACTCAGAGCTGTGGTGTCCTCCATTGCGTGCACTAGTTACTGTGACTTGTGTTTTGCAGCCATTATGGTTTTTTCCCCCTCTTCTTGCAGTTGAGGGTGATGCACCTTTGTACCCTCAGTAGCTACAGATAATTTGGGCTGATTTCTTTACAACAAAGGACCAGGTTGTTGGGAATAGTGAGGACACTAGAGTTTAGCAAAAGAAGGTATTTTTATTTATTAGCTTACAAAAGGCCATGATTATCTGTGACTTCATATTAGACTCTATTCATAACTATTAATCTATACCACATGTCCAGTAAAAAAAAAAAAAGATGTGTGGCTAGAAACATTTGTGTTTTTGCAGGCTTATTCCTGTGCCAATGGTGGGTTTCAAGGAACTGTTGAGAAGATTGAAGGTCCAAGATCAGATGACCAAGCAGCATCAAACTCGATTAGATGTAAGGTTGCTCATCTTTATCATGACTGCTTGCTACTACTGAAGGATGTGCTATTAAAATAAACCTCCCCCTGTGCCTCCTGTGTGTTGAAAACTGAAACCAGAACCATGTTGTTAATGGTTAAGGGAGCAGCATGGTTTCACTTTTGTTTCAGGGTCAAGCTCGCTGTGTTGTTGGAGTAAATTAGACTAGCTCAATGCAAGTATGCTGGTATGGACTCTAGGCAACCAGTTTTCCAATGCCTTCTGAAAATCCCGGTTGCAGATGAAAACAAATACAAAGCAGAATAGTTGAGGTAGCAGAAGGCTTTCTAAAAGCATCTATGGCAAGGACATGAAGTTGCTGGGCTGGGTACTGCTGTGAAACTCCCCATTTCAAATCAGGAGTGACATGTTCTGTTATCACAAACTCCTCTGACTTCCAACTGCCTCCATGTCCTCTGCAGATAATATCAGAAGATATCAGCGAGCTGCAGAAAAACCAAACGACAACTATGGCAAAAATTGCACAGTACAAAAGGAAGCTGATGGCGCTTTCTCACAGGACATTACAGGTAACAGGGGTAGTGTGAATAGCTCCTTTGACACACAGTCTAGTGCCAGAGAGGGCAGGAGGACCTGTGCCAGCTTGTGCAGAACTAGTGTTGAAAAGGAAGTTCTGACTTCAGCTAAATGGTGTTCATTTAAGTACCAGGCAGAGCTGTTGGGGAAAGCTTTAGGTCCACGGTACTCGGGAACCTTCTCTCTCCCTTCTCAGGGCAGTCCTGTGGCTCCTGGGTGTCTCAGAGCAGCAGACTAAGTGACAGAAAAGTTCAATGAGACCCATGCTGGAAGAAGGGCAAAAAGACATATGAACAGAGTGGTGGGGAAAGAGATGGGCCAAGTCTTCTCTACTGAACCTATAAGGCTTCTTTTGTAGGTGTTAATAAAGCAGGAGATCCAAAGGAAAAGTGGTTATGCCATCCAAGCAGATGAGGAGCAGCTCCGTGTGCAGTTGGATACAATTCAGTGTGAACTTAATGCACCAACACAGTTCAAGGTAGGTAGTTAGTAGAACTCTGCTACTCTTTTCTTACTAAAAAAAGTTAGTTTTCCAAACCATGCATGTGTGTTTGTTGTGCAAAGCTGTCAGCAGTCCAGCAGCATTACCAAGACTAGCATTGCGGACGTTGGTGCGTGACCAATAATTACTGAAGTATTTTTGAGTTCTTGGAAGTATTTGACTCATGTGCCCTTTGTACATCTTCCAAAACATTTAAAAATTGAACGAGCAGCAATAGTTCCAGTCCTGGTGACTCAAGCAACAGTACATGGTGGAGCTCTGGCAGATGTTTGATTGAAGCCTGTTCCTCCTGCAGGGCAGACTGAATGAGCTCATGTCCCAGATCAGGATGCAGAACCACTTTGGAGCAGTGCGAGCTGAAGAGCGCTATTACATAGATGCAGACCTCTTAAGGGAAATCAAGCAAGTAAGTATGACTGGGTAGAATCCTCTTTGAACTTCATTTAAGCCAGATACACACTTGACTATACCTAGAATGCCATATTCTTGGAATTGTTTGCTGTTCTCAGTGCCAGCGCATCAATGTTACACAAAACCACTCTATGGAGTTAGGCTTTTAGTGCAGAAAATGCTGTTATTCCTTCTTCCAAGAAATTATGCCAGGCTTCTCCGTGTGCCAGAGGCACCAGTCACGACACCTTTGGGAAATATTACTTACAGTCTGCAAAGTTGGACTGTACTCACACTGGTCTCTAACTACCTGCAGCACCTGAAGCAGCAGCAAGAAGGGCTCAGTCACCTAATCAGCATCATCAAGGATGACTTGGAAGACATCAAGCTAATAGAACACGGGCTGAACGAGAGCATTCCCATCAGAGGAGGAGTCTTCAGTTGACTGGCTGCTGCTGGGCTTACACAGAACACGTTAGTCAAGTTCATGGTTCACCTTCCAAGGCTAAAACTGTTGAGGTAAAATAAAACATATCTTGTAGGAGCAATGGTATTTTGGCTGTTACCTTTAGAATTAGCAAAGCCTCTTCTAAGCTTTTAAAATTGACCTTTGGAAGGTTTATATTTTGTAAAGCTGTATATGCTTTAACAAAAGAAGGAAAACTGAATCTGTTCAGATACTGGTTTACTATAAAACTATATGTACTATTGTACATTTTTTCTTTTTTTTCTCTCCTTTTTTTACAACAGCACTGTCCTAGAAATGCAGTGCTGAGGGGATTGCTTCACTTGTGACTTGGTTTGTGGAAAGCTTAGCCCCCTTCCGTGTTTCTGTTAAAACAATCAAGTAACATTGTGTAAACCGTTAAGTTAAATCATTACGGGGATGTTAGTTGCTGTAACTATGTTGGTCCCTGCAATACCAGTAGTTTACTGGGGCAAGCTGCAGGAACTTCTTTCCAGTTTCTGTTCTTCCTTTGGACTGCAGAGATCTGCAGGTCATGTTTTTATCACTTTACATATGTGATTTATACAGAGCTTTGGTGCCCCTCTAAGTAACAGGATGTCTGGACATTGTCTTCTGCCTTTTTTAAATTGCCCAAGAGTAATAAATTCAGTCTGACTTTGTAATAACTGGTGTGTGGTGTTGGCTCTCAGTTACATCAGTGACGCTGCTCACAGCTCCAGGTAAGTGCACTTCCCTCTGCTCCAGGCACTGCAAGTCATGGGCACAGAGCTGGCACCTGATGGCACAGAGCTGCTGGCAGCCTCAGTCCCCAAACCACGGTACAGAGCCATCTCCCTTACACATCCTACCTGGTAGCAAGTGCTGCAGGGCAGGTACCTACTCCATGCAGTGGAGAGCTGTTTTTAACCCCCCCATTAAAAAATTCACTGATAGTAACTGAAACAAAAGAACTTGTGTTACCTGCAGTAAGAGTTTGTACAGCAGAAACAGAGGAAGCAGAATAATTTTGTCCCTTAGCCACCAGAACAAAATAAATCCCACTCATAAGATTTGATAGATGGAAAAACCAAAAATATAGCCTAAGCATGCTGCAGCATGTATAGTCATGAGAGAGCATTTGTGGAAGCCTCGTTTCATTACAATTGAAAAAAGTGGGAAAAGGAATAGTTTGCTTTTGAAAGCACAGTTCCAATTAATAAAGTGTCTCCACTGTGCAATACAGGCTCTAACATGGGCTCTTTAAAGAACTCAAATGACTGTAAAATTCTCTTTTTCAGGGGCTGAGGTAGCTTAAGTGAATTCTTCTGCCATGGTTCCTCTGCTAGTCTGACTGTGCTGCGTGTTTGAGATACCTTTTTTTTCTTTTGCTTTGTAAGCTTTTCAAACTCCCCACACTTCACTCCCCTTAAGCTACAGTTGTACCACGCTCTGAAAATATCATCAATGTGAAGGACAGGCTCCCTAACAGGGAGCACTTCCCTTGGTTTTGAAAAACTCAGTTACCTCAATCACTTTCTTAAACAAGACCCCCTGCTAGAGACAGTGTTGCACTTTGGAGGTGTTTTTTTTTTTTTCAAAAGTATTGCTCCACTGCACTTATTTAGTTGCTTCAAACTTGTGGAACAAGCTTACCACAGCAAAGGAACACCAGCAGAAGTACATGTCATCACTGGAACAGCACTGCTGCTCACAGAGCTTACAAGCTAGGGAAAACAAGAACAGCCAAGAAACAGCAGTCTAGAAAAAACTGTTTATTAAAAGGAAACCCCTGATCAAATAGGCGCTACCTTGTTAAAACCAAGTAATACCTTTACTTCCATTTTACTACTTTTGGATAGACCTGTAACTAAGATAGAACTGTAACTAAGTTGCATCTTCCCTTTGCACAGTCATTTCTACTTAAAATATAGCTTCTTGTACAAATGGTCAGAATTGCAGGGCATGTATTGTGCCTGTTGCCTCCCTAATGGGTCAGAGCTGCTGGTCTCTGCTTGGGGTACCTGCCTTCCCTTTCCCCGCTCGGCATCCGCAGGCACTCTGCAGTTGGGTGGGACACAGTCCCGGCTGCTCAGAGATGAAGGCATTGGACATGACAGCCTCCTGCGGGCTCTCACGCCTGGCACTGCCTGACAAGGCGGAAGGCCTCCAGGAACTCGTTGAAGTCAATGTTCCCATCCTTATTGAAATCGATGCTGCGAACCAAGTCATTGATGCCATCATCCGTGAGCTCAATGTTCATGTGGGAGCTGAACAGCTTCCAGGTCTGCTGGAATTCTTCAAACGAGATAAGACCTGTGGAGAAGCATTTCACATGCTGCAACTCCATCTCCTAGTGTGGAGAACACTGACTAAAACACAAGTTAAAGCAGCAAGGAGACATAATACAAATTGTGAGAACAAAAGGCAAAGACTATTTTCTTTTTCCCAAAGTAATTTGATGGAGATTACTACTTGAAAGCAGGTAACACTCCAGATCCCAATTACACTGCATTACTGTCACTGCTCACATCACAATTTTTCTGCTGAACTCCTCCAGAAAAAAGAACTATTAATTCTCTAGCTGGATTGCACACACTTGAGTATGCATCCTGTTTATGGAAACATGCAATGACATTTCAGAAGCTTGGGAGGGAGCAGAAGGATCCAAGCCTTAAACAGTTAAATAAAAACACTTTTGTATATACTAAAGGGAACCCTGAAGTGGAAGGGAACACAAGCCAGTCACCAACACCCCCTGCACACCTGCTTACCTGAATGGTCCTTGTCTATGATCCTGAATATTGTCTCCAAGTTGGATCTGTTCCGGTAAATGACTTCCAGCAGGCTTGACTGGATGTGCTGAAAGAAAACATGATCAGACTCACTCTACCCTTCTGACAGCCCTCTGTCCTGAGTGATTACTGCACACCTCCCCATAAACACAAACATTTCTTGCTCCCAAGAATGTGCCAGTAGTGTGTGATAACTAAACCCTCCATGCAACTGCATGGACCACCAGCAGCCTGTCCCTTCCGAACAGCACTTTTCCAGGCTGTGACCATTGCAGAGCTGGATTTGCTGGGTGTAATTAGGAAGCCGCAATTCAGAGTGAAACACAGTTTTCCCACCTGAAAGCCTGCATCCAAAGCTACCTCTTGGTAGTCCTTACCTCTTGGCTCCGCTGCTCCATGGCCAGGTCATCCAGCCAGGATTTGTACTCCAGCATGCCATCCTCCGTGCTGCGCACCAGCTGCGGTCTCAGCATTCGCCAGGGCAGGCCCAGGCGCAGGACTGACTCCACTGCTGTTGCCCAGTTGCTCAGTGTGATCCTTCCTGGAGGGAAGGAGACATGGAGACTTCTGGGACACTGGCAGCTGAAAGCACATGAAGTGAGGGGTCTCCCGACCAGCCACTCACTCAACTTTGTCACTTCAACCTTGCCCTACCAGAGAATTAGCTTATACATCCCTCGGCTCAGCTGTACCTGTGTTGTCCTCATCGTAGGCCTTGAACGCACTGATGAGGGCAGAGGTGTGAGCAAAGAGCTTCTCCCGCAGGGCTCGGAAGGCAGACTCCTCTACTCTGCTGATTCTGGAGGATGCAGAACAGAGAGAAGCACATGAAGGACTTGCAAGAGAAGCTGCACCTTCCCAGTCCTCTGGCTTGTCTGTGGGTTTCCTAGACCCTCACACAACTGCTCTGCACAGCTGCATTTCTGCTCATGGCAAGGCACTGCATGCCCAGGGCACAGTTCCTCACAGCTGATGCAGCAAATCCCCACATCAATATGTGAGGTAATAAAGCAGAAGGGAACCTCAAAGGTCAAAAGTTAAAAGCTGACTTGGAAAAGAAAAACTGAAAAAAATCAGCAGTCTGTAAAAAAAATCCCCTTGGGATCTTCTAACACTCCCTCCTCAACCCTTGAGGAGCCTCCCTCTAACTTCTGCACAAGGTTTGAATCCTCCTCGAAGGATATTATTTAGAAAAAGCAAGCTGTGAAAGTTCAGCTCCAGAATCAAAGTTTCTCAAAACCCACAAAGTTCTCCCTTTTGGAATTCCGATTTGTAATCCAGAGCAACCAGTACACCTTGCCTTTGGGTCATAGTGAGCATATGGGCCGACTTGTTTGCTTGGTACTGAACAAAGTGAGGGACGAGGTCTGGTCCCAGCTTCACATAGGCTCCCCTGTTGCTGCCAATCTCATAGTAGTTTGAGGCTGAAAATATGGTCAGCACCTAATCCCAAAAAAAGAGAGGCACTTACAGTCAGTACATGCATCCTGTAATCTATATGTACATGTAAACAACATATGTGATCCCATCTAGAATTCAGACTGTGAACACACCTTGTTTTATGTGGAAAAGGGAGAGTGAGGTTGCAGCTGGCCTGGAAGCCTTACACATGCAAGCTCCACAAGGGCAGCACAGATCTCATGGACCTGGCCACATGTTGGGCTTGTGATTTCATTAAGGTCTCCCAACAAAGCCACTGCCTGAAGTCATGAAGTGCCCCTGATGAAGTCATGGAAGTGACAACACCAAGTCCTCTGAGAGCAGAGCTAGGCTGCAGCAGCTCAGTAACACCTTTTGTATGCCATCTTCAGGAACAGCTGCACTTAGTAGGGGCCATGGTACAAGTGGTTTCACACCTTCCCTGATGCCCCACACGAGGACATACTCTACCTGCACAGCCACGTCCCCAGCAGAGCAGGTGGTTCCAGACAGCCCTAACAGTTGGAAACACTTCAAAAACTCCCAATAAGGCTGTTCAGTGGTGTTGCATGTACTTAAAGCCCCATTGGAAGAAACTCAGAGCTGAGAAAAGCTACTCCTACAGCAACCCTACCCTGGAAGGATGGAGACACGAGCCATCCCCCTCACACCGACCTTCCGCCTGTGACAGAACTCGTAGCCCTCTTGCTTGCACTCATGGGAGCGGATAAGGAACTGCAAGTTGTACTTCTCAAGGATCTTCTCTGTCACATCAGGCCCAAAGTAGCAGCCGCCACCTCGCACCTTGTTTGCTCTGCAGCCCTCCTGAGGCATAGGGTCACTCCAGAGAATGTCTAAGATCTGAAAGGATTGGAAGAGTTCACTGAATAAAGTGTACCCACAGCAGATATCACCTGTCAGGGTTTACTAGGCAAATATAGCTCAGTCTGAATCCTTCCCTGCACTGCTGCAGTTATCATAGTGCAGAGGAGCAGACATGTTTCCTGCATTCCAGCTGAGCTGTCACAGACCTGGGCCACCTTAGAGATGACAATATTACTGGCCTGAAGCTACAGGCACACCCAAAGTGCCTGGGGAAAGAGGTGTGTCCAAAAATCAGATCTGATACAAGCTTTGCCTTTGCTGCCTCTAAGATGTCCAAGAGCCTTGCTTGTCCTTCTCCATCCCAAAGCACAAGTCCCAGGGCAAGAACACCCACCAGATTCTGAGGGCACAAGCAGGCTTAGTATTAAACTCCTTTGTTCTCTACCCAGGACATTTTGCAGACTCCAGAAATGCAAGTGCTGACTCAGTAACTACTGTCTGGATTAAAGTTTAATCTCTTTAACCCTGACCTCAATATACAGCTTTACACTGAAAAGATGTGCAGCACTGGAATGTCTTATGTAATGTGGAATAAGTACCCATGGTTACAGAACACAGAGAGGAGAATTACCGACAAGAAAACCAAGGAAACCAAGTCCCTAAGGAGGTAGCACAGGTACCTAACAAAATATCCCCAGGCAGCAGAGATCATCACATGCTCACAGTACAGCCCTTACTACCTATTTAGCACTGAAGGATCAACTGCTGCAGGAAGCACCCACGGCCCACCAAGCTCAGGGCCCCACAGACTCCTCACCTGCTGCCACTCCTCCTGATGAGGCTGGCACGGCTCATCCCCATACTTCAGGGAGACTGAGCTGGAGTAGGTGAGCTCCTCTGGCTCCGACTCGCTGATGTCCACCAGCCGGCGGCACGTGTCGATTTGCTCCTGCACCGTCTGCCGGATCCACCTGGAGAACTCCAGCCTGTTGGCCATGCTGGGAGCCTGGGCTGGCTGGGGCTGCAGAGATAGCCTGGGAGCTGCCTCGTGCCCTGCTGCATCAGCCTCTGATTTGCTCTCCCCGTTTATGTCCTGCATTTCCACTTTTCTATTGGACTCTTTCCTTTTCTTCATTCTTAATACAGAAATAAACTGAAAGAAATTAGAGAAATGGAGCTGATCACACTGCTTGGAAACCCAAAGCTCCAGCTGTATCATCTTCCATTGGCTGACCAAGTGACCCAACCTCCAAGCCCCAATTCCTTTGCTGCCATCAACTGCTGATGAACTGTGAGAGATATTAGCACCTCTTGGATGTGCCATTCTGGGTTTACAGCTGGGCCCTGTACCCATCAGATCTCTTTATGGACTCCATGGTGCTCAGACACAGCACAAAAGGGAGAGCACATGGATTTAATATGCAATGGGAACTACGCTGCAGAACAAAGGAAGGGAAGCAGGAAATAAAACCTACTTTGTCCCTTTGAATTTTCTCAAGCATGTCCAGGTCAGTGGTGTCAGAGATGCCCCCGTGTAGAATAAGGACTTTCTGATCAATCAGGGTGGCCAGGGGCAGCCAGCAGAAGACATTTTGGAACATCCTTAAGATTTTCTTCCCGTGCACCTAGGAGGGCAGGTCAGAAAGGAAAAGATGAAGCATCCACTCTTCAAAGTCTCACACATAAAGGAGACACACACATATGCCTACCTTGTATTTCTGCATCACTTCCTTGGTGAAGCCATAGCTAAAGGAACAGGAGAAAAGCAGTTGAGTGGGATTTCACACGAAACCCTCAACATGGTGCTCAGCCCCACACAGAACCCGTACCGTAAGTTGACCATGTGGTCCTCGTGGTTCCCACGGTTGAGGTGAACCTCCTTTGGATAGATCAGCAGGAAGGTAAAGAGGATGATGAGGACCTCAAGGGACTGTTTGCCTCTGTCTACAAAGTCTCCGTTGAACACGTAGGACTTGGAAGGGGAAGGAAGGCCATTCTGTAAAAGCAAGGAACAGGTGGATGTTACAAGAGAGGCCTCCCCATGGTCTCCATATTCCTCCCCCCACAGCTGCACAATCTGTCACTCCTGTCCCAAGTTACCTTATACAATACACATCCTGACTTAGCTTTATCCTGTAGGGCCCCAGTGCCAAAAGCAGTGGAAGCTGGAAGTCAGCAAGGGTTGCCATTGGTATCAGCACTCAAAAAATGCCCACTGGCACTTCCAAAATGGACATGGATATCAGATTTCAAAGTCACCAAGGGACTAAGCTAGCTGCTGCTTTATGAAGCCTTTTAAAACCAATTAAACTGACCTGGAGAACTGGACATGAAGGGCCCCATTTTGCAAACACTTCTCAGCATGACCTGTGCAATACCTCTCGCAATGCCTGGCCAGCCTCACTTGCCAAATTCGGTGCCTACCTTATAAAATATGAGGAACAAGTCATCCAGCTGGCCGTGCAAGTCTCCTAAGAGGCACAAAGACAAGTCAGTGTGTTTACCTTGAACTTAAAAAGACACTAACTTCCTATGAAGTATATCCTTTATAAGTTAACAACCACTGAAACACTTTGGGAAGTGTAAAGTCAAAGTTTCCTTACAGTAAGGCAAAGTGCCTGGACATGATGCAAGGCTTGAGCTGAAGCCTCAAAAGGACAGCTAAAAATATACACCAGCTGCTGTAGAGTGACTTAGAAATTTTGTTTATCTCTTGCAGTGACAACATAGCACAAGATTGTCATTACGTGGGAGAAAGCTTTGCATACAAAATAACAAATCTTAACTAAATTCTCATTTAACATGATACTGGAGAGAGAAAGGTTTGTTTTCCAGAAGCTGACTGCATGCAGAAGTTTTGAGGTCAGTCCTCGAATGGGGCAGTTTCTGTGATTCAGTAAAACTTCTCCAAGTTTGGGGTGACAGAACAAAGACAACCCAGGTATTTCAGACAGACAGTTGCCTCTCAGTGCATCACACGTCTCGCTTACAGACAGCATTTGTGTTTCATGTTCCATGTTAAATACAGAGGAGGGCATTGTGCTCTCCCTACCATTCCATGCCTTTCCCACGTGAGCATCCCACAGCCTCTGACGTACCACACACAGTGACCTCCTCGCTGTAGCAGGTGGAGACGTGGCTGATGTTTGGCAGCTGCTTGAGGTGCTTCCTGGTCTCATGCAGAAGGTTTAAGACATATCGAGCGTGGAGCTGCTACTGGGAGAAAGGCAAGGGATTAAAGCAGGAAATCAGTGGCCTCTGAGCAGCACCACGGCTCTGTCTGCAAAGGCCCCACCAGGACAGCTCACATGGGAGAAACTCGCCCTGGGACAAATTCCACAGAAATTCCAGCCCAGTATCACAGGTAAGAGGCTGCTCCTCTAGATCCTTCTTAGCTTTTCCACATTAAACCAAGCCATGAGTTTCCACATGTCCTGCAGAAATATATTTGCTCAAAGCCAGGGTGTAAGCATTTCATATAGTCGGGACCCAAGACATTTGGTTTAGGAATTGGTTTTTTTTGGAGAAGGGATATTTTGGCCTATTTTGCAGTTCAGCACCTTGGCTGAGGATGGCAGCAGAACACTGCAGTTGTACGAGGGCTTGTTTGTTAGTGCTGCTCAAGTGGTACTGGGCTTCCTCAAAGACTTCACAATTTACCTTTTAAATGCAAGTCAAAGTTGAGTGGCACAAAACATTTTAATTGGCTGTTTCCATCTGAGCCATGCTACGCTTTTTTACAAGTGCAAAAACTTCAACAAAAAATAAGAAAAAGGTTCAACATGAGCTGTTATGGATTTCTTCCTTTAGAAATAAAATTCAGGTTGATGTTGGTACACGCCCCCACGTAAAGTTTTCAGTTTTGTCAGAATTGATTTCAGAAAGGAAACCAGTCCCATGGCAGGGGAAGATATCGTATCATTTCCATCCCCCTCTGTTTAACAGCCTGCCAGCTCATTACACTCCAGTCAGTTTAGCTTGTTGGGAAGGCTAAAACCAAGTTATCTATCCTACACCCCCACTGAGATGGGGAAAGCCTAATTCCTGTTGGGATCCTTACTTGTTTCTGTTTGAAAGCTTCCAGCAAGGCAGTTGCATGGTCAGGAAGGAGTGGGAAAGAGAGATGGGGTCCAGTGTAAGAGTCTGGCACCTCTATGGATTCATAGTCACAGTATTTTTCCAGCTCTGCCTCTTTGTAGCTTTCTCCACTTATGAACATGCGACTGATAAAATCCCCTGGATGGTAGATCAGGGGATTTAATTGATTTTTTTCAAAAGAGAGAGACAAGAAAAAGTTGATTAGTTCAAGGTACCATTCTAGTAATTTTCAGAGAAAAGCTGTTTGGTTCAGCTGCAATTCAGCCTCCACAGAGCCTGAGTCCCGATTTGAAACCACTACACAATTTGCAGTGGGGAAAGGCTATAGGGACAAATTTCCACGTGTATCTGTCAGGCAAGATGGCTTCTTGCTTCAGAAACGGCCTCTGCAAAGCCCTGCTTAGCAGGGATCATGAGACCCCACCTGCAGTGCTGCATCCAGCTCCAGATACATCACAGGGAAACTTACTCTCTTTGCTGCTGCTTGGCGTGAACTGCTCCATGAGGTAACTGAAGAAGTTGTGAAGCTGCAAGAGAGAGAGCCCATCATTCATCCTGGAATTAAATTCTGCAGAGTGGCAACTTAGCATGATCATCTTTCTGCAAGTATTATGTCTGCCCTTCTAATGTTGCCCAGTACGTAAAACAAATCACACTGTACCAATGCATGTTAGGAATACCTTGTGATGAAGGTAAACAGTAGCTTTACCTGCAGCCAAACAGGCACAAGTACAGCTACAAGCCCTCCCTTCTCCCTGCCTGACAGCAAGGCAGCCATCTAAGAGAATCTTAATGAAAGATTCTTTCAAGGCTCATAACTTCAGGTTTCATCAGACACAAGCAGGCAGGGAATCAAATAGGCTAAAAGGGGGCACGAACCCCAGTGTTTAGCCCACTGAAGCACTTATGGGGTTATCAGCCAGCAGACAGAATCAAGCAAGCCTGTGGCACAGGAAACACCTGGCTATGTGTTTCCCTACTTCCTTGGCACCATACCTTGATCTGGTCCTGCTCACAGGCATACTCGATGGATTGGAAGATTCTCCAGGTGCAGCGGCGGCGCATCTCCAGCCGGGCAACATAGCGCCGATACCACTGCTGGATCAGAACAGCTGCCTTGAAAGCTGGGGGACAAACAGAACCCAGCTGAGGTACCCTGCTACTGCTCCTTCACCAGCCCCGAAAATTGTAGAGCAACCTGCCTTTTACAGGACAAGTCCTCACTAATTGTACTCTGACACCCCAATATTAAGGGTAATAAATCATCCACTTTTCAACACATTGCAAGAGGTTGACCTGATCCTGCCTGACCAGACTTCTGAAGCACTCCTAGCCACCACTGCTGGCTTCTCAGCACCACCATTAACAGCTTAAAGATCCAAACACATTCTTCAGTATCAATAGACAGTTCCTCCCTTTCCATCTTCATGTCCATCTTACAGTCTCTGGGTGCCAAGGCTTCAAGAAACCAGAAATTTGACCTGGGCCACACAAAGAGATGGGAGGAAATAAGACACCAAGTCCCCTTCCAGAGCCTTAGAAATATGGGGTTTGTCTACCTCCCTTTATGCCAAATAAATACCTCAGCTTTTGCAGTTCTGGAAGAACTTGAGGGAACCTATTGTAGCATGAATGTTAACATACCATTACCTCACAATAAAGACTAAATTACCACCCACAGTGAAAAAAGGGAAACACAGCTTTGGCCACGTAAGGAATGAGATGGCAGGAATTTCCAGCTGCCTGTTTGTGGTTCAATCCATCACCAGCACCAGGCACTTCTTTCAGAATGACAGCTGTTTGCCCTGATCTTTTCAACATAATCGTTCCTCTGCATTTTCCCAATTCCAGTGTTTTAGTAAAAGATTATTTCAGTTAAGATGTGTGCATATTTAGACTCAAGTACACTGGTGCAGTTTCCCACTTCCTTTTTCAAGTCCTGCCACAGAACTTTATGTACCTCTAGAAACTCTTCCATCCTCTCTTGCTGGCTTTGACCCCACTTGCACCAGCTCTGCTACTTGGCATTTCTCTTCTCATTACCCTGTGTCTCTTCCTGGATCCCTACCCTTGAGCCCTGTGCTTAAAACATTTTCTAACAATGCTACTCCATCATCTTGAAATAAGGGTGGGAAGGATGGTTACTCTATCCACAGGCTGGCCCTGAAATCTAGTGGAAACAACTGCGTTAGGCAGCTAGCCCTGCTGCAGGTGGTTTATTCCCTCGGCATTATGGTTTGTGAGAGGGCCCTGTCACATTCACCAAAGCAGAGAGAGCAATGCAGAGTGCAGGGGGGAAAAAAAAAGAACTTGATTAAGGAAATCCCCCACCCCTATTCAAAAGGCTGCTCCAGGCTTGCAAGAGACAAAGAGATCATATTAATTCAATTAGCTTGTATTAATTACATAACATAAACCACCCCTCATGTACTCCAGCAGGAAACAGTGACCTTTCCCTAGAGAAGATATCCTGATGGCTTACATATTGAAAATAATAATCCTTTTAAATATGGTTCTGTTTCAGCCCTGGGAATTGCAGAGCACAAGAAGAAAAGTGTTACAGCTGCTGTGCAGCAGGGAACTGAGTCACAGTGAAGTCGTGGGCAAGAAGGTAAGACTTGGTCAGTTATTCATGTATAACTTCTGTATTCTGTGCCCGAGCCTTCCCTCATGTTGAGCAAATGCTTACTGGTCTGCTGGGCTTGGAAAGAAATTCCTAGTGGTGACTCCACACATGCCAATCAAAACCAGATCCTTTGAAACAATAAAAATAGAACTTAGGGAAGACACATTATCAAGTGCACATATACCACCATCCACAGCATTTAAGCTTCAGACGGGCAAGGCACTGTTTTTTTTATTCTGCTTTTACATAGACTGACTCTGCAATACCTGCAAGGCCAGTTATTCTAATTTACCAGCTTACCTGGGTGAGTTTCACCTGGCAGGGTTAGCAGCAGTTTAGATAAAACTAATCAAAAAGGGGGAGAAAGATTCACCCACGTTTTATGAGGGTCCAAGCCACGTATCATGATAAGCTCCTGAAAGCATTGCAGAGTGGCAGCACTCAAGCCAAAATATGAACACTTGTGTAAGCAGCATAGCTCACACATCAGCTTACAGGAGGGACTCCCCAACCCCTTCTTCACTCAAGGGCAGGGCCAGTTGAACAGCTCTGCTGGCTACACTGTCCATAATGAACAGCCCCTGGACCTGGTACAGGTAAAATTAGACAACACCTGGCACATTGTATGTGGGTGTAAAGTCCTAAGCAGCTCCTCATCTGCAGATCACCAGATCTGAAGGACTGAGAACCAAAGGTAAGAAATTCAGAGAGGTTTTACTGCCATGGGAAACTGTTGCTGAGGTATCAGATGTAATGCAGGGTTTCAAATAAATAACTGGGTTTGTGTTACACTATGTTATCTGAAAATAACCCTGAACTTAGCAAAGTCCATGGTTCTCTGGTGCTATGGGCGATAGACAAGTAACTTAAAAGGTGGAGTTTTTCAACAAACAAAAATTACAAAGTCAGTGTATCCCTACTTTCTTAGTTTCTAAACACAATCCCCCTTTTCTTTTCAAAGCACTTGCAAACAGTTGGCCCCATCCTGATCTTCTGCCAATGCCTGATACAAACAATAAAGAAGTGAAAGTCTATTTTTAATCCTTCCCTATGTGTAAAGTCCCCTTCAAACTCCCTTTGTTCCACAGCAGATCTAGGCACACACACAAAATTGGTGCTGTCACACAGAGGGTTTCATACAAATTGATCATTACAGCTTTGAGAGCCATAAACAGGTTAAGATCATTAGCAGAGATTAAGAGCATTGTGCTGATATAATTAGAAAAAAAGGCACACTTTGCTTTTCAGCTTTTTGTAGCCACACCATCTCACCTTCTTTAGAGCCAGGTTTATTTTTATTTGTTAATACTTCTGCTTTACCAGTCCTGCACCACTACCAGCCTTGGAAAACAGCCCAGGAGAATGAGCAGGTTGGCACGTCTGTCTCACTGCCAGCACCTGACAACACACACTTTAGCCAGCAAGTCATTAGGCCATTAGGTGTCAATTTTAACTGCTGCTTCATATCTGGTCAGGTTTGGGTTGATTTTAATCTAATCCTGGCCTAAATAGCTGCTGTTTTCTCAAGCCTGTTCGTCTTCTGCTGAGAATCCTTGTCACAGGATGCTGAAATACAGAACCTCACCTCAGTGCTATCAGGAAAACCAGGTAACCCAGCACAAACACATCCACTGCACCCTCCTTAAAGCACACACAGCAAACAGGAAAAGGTGACTTCTCAAAGAATCACTCACCATTTTCAGACTTCTGCAGGGAGTACTTGTAATCGACATTTACAGAACTACCAGATCCCATGTTCTCTAACCAATGCTCCAGTGTTGCAGACTGGCCCAGTGTCACCAAAACCACCAGAGAGATGCAGCAAACACCATTCAGTCAGAATCAAAACAGCTGCAACATGTCCCACAGTGCTGAGAATCTACAATGAAATATATTAACAGTTAAGATCAATGATCAGATGGCCTCTCGTGCTCAATTACCACTATCAGGATTTTACCAGCTACTTGGGTGTCCTTCAGATGATCCAAAATGAGGATTTCTGTCTCACTCCTTCCAATTTCAAGTCAGCTATATAAATAGGACCCAGTTCAGCACCTTTCCTACTTGCATATCTAGATACTGTTATTGTATGGCAGATGTATAAAAAGTTTTTCAGTACTGATCAGGAATGATAAAAGCCATGAAGTTGATTGATTACCAGTCAGTACGTGCAGACAAATATTGATGCATGTAGTCACCTGTGAAGGATAACTCATTATGAGGGATGAACACACACAGTATTTAATCTTGTTATCTGTGCAATACCACAGCTGGAGGGTAGATAAGTCTAAAACAACAATTACCTATCATAAGAAAATAATCAGCTTTGTTAAACACTGCTTTCCTTCACCTCATGCATATACTACAGTGTAGGAGCACATGATGCCATCTCTTGCCAGCATAAAAGGGCAGGACAGCCAGACTTTGGTAACTGGAAGGAAGCTCTGGTAAAAAATCCAGTCACACACTACTGCCAAAGCAGCCCCAGGCTGTATTGCAAAATGATTAGATTTTTAATCTAACCCAGAATTTGCAGGGGGAGAAAGCTGAGAAATGGAGGAAAGGAAATAAACACCTGTAAAAATGTTAAGCCTGGTGTTTGCAGGAGACCACAGCTCAGAGGGTTTTGAGGAGTCTGGACAGAGCAACTACAGAGGTGCTTCTCCCCTTTTCTCACCTCCTGCAATCCTTGTGCCTCCTTCCATCTCCTTTCACCCATCCCACATCTCTCCTCCCAGAATAGCTCCTGATTGCAGGAGCACGTCCGGCGTTGCGTAAGGTGAGCACGTGCCATGGTGGCTCAGGAAGGTGAGCCCTGCTCAGCCACACTGCAGCACGGCAAAGTTCCAAGGCAGAGCAAGTGCTCCAATTCTCTCCCTTGCCCAGGATGCCCAATTGTACCATGGCATCTTCACAGTAACTGGATGATGCAACAGGAAGGTACAAAGCAATGTTCTCATTTTATTCTAACATCATTTCATATCAGTGTCAGAAGTGGCCTGAAATCACCACTGAATTATATCCAACTTGATCTGGTGCTTTACAGCCTTTATGCTTAAATAATGCAGGTGCTCTGACAACTTTTCAGGTTAACTACTCCAAGGGACAATTGCACACAAAATCAGGATCCCTAACACTTAAAGGGCTCTTACTTGTAACCTCCCGTGCCAGCTTCAAGGGGAGGAGGTGGCTTCAGCTCTTCAACGAGATGAGTACCTTTAAAGATACCCTTAAAAATGCAAACATGAGCAAAAAAGTCCTTTTTCAGGAACTAGGACACTTCCAGATGACTTCTGAAAAATGGAGAACAGATTTGAAGCAAACACTTAAGTACAAGGTTTGGTACTTTGCTTTAAGGATGCATTCAGGGGTACTGCCTGTTTTGTTGAAATGGGACTTGGGAATTAAAATTACCTTTAGCAACACAGAATAAAGTTTTCCCTCATTTCCTTCCTAACCTGCAAAACAAAGACTATTATTTAGGCAGCCCTACCTGAAACAAATTTTGGCCATCCATCCCAGGAAATGGCTTAGTATTAGTGTGCTCTAGGAGCACCTGTGGAGTACCAGCATAAGCAACAGCACCAACCTGTTTATCATATGAACAGGCTTATCAACAGGTCCCTCCCAAGCAGCTCCTGGAGCTGTGAAGTCTTTCAAGTTCATTACCCTCAGATCTTTTTGAGGGCCACAGCCCAAAGAGGACACAGCAGTAAACCAGAATCCAGTGGAATCAAACCTGTTCCAGGGGTGGGAGGAGTGAGAAAAAAAATCCACCACTCCAACTGCTCAGCACCTCTGATTCTTCCTCATCCACCAAACAGTGAGGTGCACCCTTCCCTTCCTAAAGAAAGGCACAACCTGGAAGACTTGCTCAAGTTGAACAGCAGCATCAGCTCAAACACAGGCTGTCCTAAACAGCCAGGTGAGACAACAGGATGCATCGAGGGAATGACCAGCTACTGACTGCTCCTTCCTCTCCATGCTCTTGGCCACCATTCAGAGTCTCAGTAGGGAAGTAGCCACAGACATGTAGGGAAGATGTTCCCTGTTCACCAGAGGTAACATTCCACAGGCAGAAGAAAAACACATGACAGCCAGACTTCAAAACTTCACAAGCCATTGGATACCACTTCTTGGAAGTCTTCAAACACAAGCTGTCAACTTGCTTAATAACAGTATCTAATACCACAAAACTCAGGAAAACTCACATAAATCCATTTGGGTCAAGCACCCCAAAACAGGAACAACAAAAACCTAGGTCAGCTTCCTGCCTTAGCACAAATATTACTTTAACTTCTTCAAAACAAAATCAAGTGACAGCATTAACTGAATCCCACATACTCTGAGCCTGTGCACATTGCAGATCTGTGCAGAACTAGGTGCCTGACCCACAGGCCAGGAACACCACAGCTAAAAGGAAGCCTACTCCAAAACATGGCTCCTAGGAAAAGTGACATTGCATTGATCATACACAACAGGAGCCCCACTAACCTGCCCATTTTATAGACAGTCCAGCAGCTGAGGGAACAGATGAGCAGAACATGGAAGGCAACAAGAAGACAGACTTACTGAGATTTTAACAGGGAAAAACCTGAAAGACATCAGAGGGAAAGTTTCACTGAAAGAAAACAACAACAGTTTAAGACCTACAGATTAATTGATAAAATAACCAAATACTTCTCTCAAGAAAGCAAATCTCAGGTAGCACTAGGGAAAGTGATAATCCTGCCTTGCCCCCAAGAGTAAATACTTATGGATGGCCCATGTGTACATTGGACTCAGCACATCTTGTAGCTGGAAACGAGATTGCAAAGCTTGTTTTATTTTTATACACACACCCACAGTTACTGCACTGCCAAAAAAGTCAGTTTCAGATACAAAACCCCCAAATGCAGTTTTATACAGCTCATCATATAAAAAAGATATTTCACCTCAAACTACAGGTGCTGAACATAACACCCTGTCACAAAAATAAAACAAAAAATGCAACTTACCTTGCCAATTCCTAAGTTAGGGATTTGTTGAGATAAACACAGTAGAAGCTCTCCGCTTGGTAGATTTTTGTTCTATTCTGTACTCAAAGAAATGAATGATCTTTGAAGTGACTGGTTTGATTACAGATGCAGAAACTCCTCCTCAGAATGCAATCAAGCAAGGTGCTCCCTTGGGCACGCAGCAGGACAGGCCATGTCTTTGTACATGTGCAGCCCAGAAGAGGTGTGGGCCCCTCGACTTATTTACTGCCTTAAAGAATCCTCTCTCATGTGATCCTTAAGAAAGGCTACAGGCCTGAACCTGGATTAGGATTACTGAAAGGATTATAAATGAGATATACAGCATGTTAGCCTCTCCCATCTTAAGAGTCAGCTCTAACACACTTGCAAGTCACCTTCTGCTAAATGCAAACTTACAGAGAAAAAACAATTAATGGTTTCACCCTTTACCTCTGTTGGACTGTAGCTTTGTAGCTAGGGGATCTATACTGCAGAAGGGAAAGGATGGGGAAAAAGGATTACTTAGCTCAGTTCTGTTTCATTACTTAACAATTCTAAGGCTTGAAAAAGCAGAAAAACTACTTTCTTTTTAAAAAGTGGACACACGAACCAGATGAAATCTTAAACAGAAATAAGCGATCCTCCATTTTTAAAGAAGTAAACATGACAGAACCATAGAATGCCATGCTGGAGAAGTACCTTAAAGATCATCTAGTCCAACCTTTCTTGGCAAAAATTCCCACAAAATACCCAAACCTGCCAAAATAATGCATCAACACTACATTTTAATGTTTCCAGCATTAAGAGTTTTATTTAAAGTATTAGCAATCCCATCTCTGCACTTCTGTCAAATTTCAATTCTTATTAAAAGTAGCTCAGCTACTCACAGGTTAAATCATCTAGTTACTATGATGTGTCATTTACCACTTCATTAGTATTTATATTTTTAGCTTGTCATTAAACTAAAACCACAAAGTAATTTATGTTTTTGATTAGCACAAGAAAAGCATTCTAGGTGGCAGAAAGCTTTTTATTGGCAATGAGCATGTTTGAGTGTTTACTATCACACAAAATGCAAGGCTTTCAAGAAAATAATTCAGAAAAAAACCCCGTAAATCCTTGTTTAAACTTCACAAGCACAAACAGCTGCCAAGACCCAAGCACAACAGCAGCAAATTTTTTTCTGAATATTCATGGATACTTGTGATTTATACACACTAGATCTGCTTGTACACATTAAAACATACATTTGGTTAAATTTACATACCAGTAGCATCTGGGCACACCCCTGCCAGCAGATAATCAGCCTAATGGTGCAGAGGTCAGGATGACAAAACAAAGCCACACCTGGAAGGATCCTTTTGTTGTAGGAGGCTGTTATTTAAGGAAAACCTGGTGCCATCAGGTGTCAGTGCCTGCTCTGTAATTTAAAACAACGGCATTCTGCAATCCCAAAGACAGTGAGCACAATTACATCTTCCTCCAGGAACTCTGTTCAAATTTATCCTTCTGGCATCCAACTGCTGTACAAACTGGGTCAGGGCAAAGCTTGCAGCACACTCATCCAGTCAGGAGGACAGGATGCAGATAAGCAGGTTATGAGACTCAGCACAAGGAGATCAAGGGCCCACAGCTCCAGAAGGTGCTCTCGGAGCAGTCTGCATAACCAGTGCACAAACACTGCACCAGCACAGCATGGATCTGGAAATGGTGCTCTGACCACACCTTCCCTCAGGTGAAGTTGTGTCCAGTGCAGGAGGGGACCTCTAAGCTTTACATAATCCAGTATCCACTGGTCTTGATTCTTCAAATCCTTCACTGTTTCCAGGGTACAATTAAGTGCCAAAATTCAATATGCAGTCACAGCACAACCCAACAAAAACCCCACTGCTCCATATTGTAGAAACAACTTATAAACTTACTATTGCAGGCAATTTTATTTGATCACAGGAAAACATATATCCTCCTTTAACATCACTGCTACCCAACACAAGCTTCTCTCATCTACCAGGGAGCAAAGTCTTATCACACTTCCTGAAACAGCTCCTGATTTCTGATAAATCAATTAACTATAGTCTACAGCTCTGCATGCTGCTGACTGTTGCATCTGCCCCTGCTAGGCTCATATCACCAACCCCTCACAGGTGAGGGGAAAGGATGAGCACATGCAAGTAACTCCACACACCTCCAGAAATCAGTCTATCAGCTGCATCTTTTTATTTCATCATGTTCAGACCTACTGGCCATGTAAAGTACAAAAATTTATTCATTAGCACAGAACTACATTGCAGTTACACGACTCTTACAAAACCAGTAAAAGCCATTTTTAACCAGTCACATCTGCTAGAACATCAATTAAAATAAAATTCAAACACCTCTTACAGTTCATTAAGAGGATCACCTGCAACACTTCAAAGAGTTAACAAGTCACTATTTCCCAAATGGTTCACATAATTAATAAGCCAAAACGACTGTACTGCTCCCAAGAGTTATTTTAGAACCATATGCTGATCTTGCAAAGCTTCAGCTTTTCACTCAGTCTGTTGAAACAGAAAAGTAGATAAGAGAGCACAAGTTGGTATAGAGTTACAAAAAACCAAACTCTGTACAAGCTCTAAAAGGAATTACTCTTGCTAAAATCAGATCTGAAATATCTTTCTCTAAGTATATTGAAACTGCCACACAAGGCACCTTGTGAGTTCAAGGACTTGGATTTGTTCTGCAAGTTGACAGGACAAACCCCTCAGAGGGTGCTGCTCACAATGTCATTGCTGAGCAGCTCTTGCCAGTGAAGCTCAATTTTTTCTGGTGCTAATGCACCACCCCCTCCTGCTGGGATTCCTGTCAACCACCTGGAGACAGAGGAGTGCTGGACTGGGGACTGGTACAACCTGCCAAAACATTGCCAGAGAGAACCTCTACCTCAAATCACAACACCCACCCCCTTTCTCTCAGATCAAGCACTTTTCCCTAAGATAATGTCCAAGAGCTTCACTGAGCAAGTCAATACTTACCAACCTTTAAAACAACAAGGGAAGGTATTTACCCCAGGGCAACAAGCAAACCAAGGACAGCATCAGGAGTTCAGACCACGTCACTGGAGTGTCACTGCAGCACTTTGTCCCTCAGTGACCCTGCACCCAAAATGTTTAAATGCAAGTACAACGTGCTACTTACACCTCTGCTCCTCACAGCTCTTCACTGCTCAGTTCGGATCCATGTCTGGTACTTGAATGGAAATGCAGCACTCATCACTGTGGTGTACACTGTGTTACTGGCAGGGAGAGAGAAGAGTCAGTGACATCCCAAAGGCTGCAACACTAATTTATACAGCTAGCAAAGCAGCTTGAGTGGAAACAAGTGTTCTGCTTAGGTACAGAAGGGTTAGAAAGACAGAAAAGCTGATGGAATTGAAGGCTTCTGGCATAGATTTTTAGTGTTCTCTCCCCAACTCAGTACAGCAAAGCAATGGTATTTGGACATCCATTTCATCACTATATTAAACAACTGGTAGTGTTCATCTCAGGTCTGACAGATACAAACTCTCCCAATTTCCTCACATTTACAAGACAGAGAAGAGGTCCTGCTATTAACTTAGAGGAAGCCACTGCAAAGCCCCAGTGAGAATGAGTGATCCAGAGAATATACTGATCTCTGTGTAAAACATAACAACCTGTGTGTTGCAAAGGTGTGATTTCTGCAACAATACAGAACAAGATACTGAAATAAATCTCTCAAAAACACAGTAAATCGTACTTAAAAGTTGGTCCTGTTTACTTTTATCCTTTTTACACATCAAGCAGACCTACACCAGAACATTGAAAAAAAGCCACTCTCAGTGTTAACACCAACCTAAAAGTTCCAGAAGTGGACAAACAACTCAGTGGAAAGTCCAGCTGCTCCTCCAAAGGAATCATTTGTTTCACTGCTCCAAAACAACTTCCCACTATCAGACTGAGCCCAACCAATTGTAGCTCTTTGGATGGAGGGGCAGACGCAGGACAAAGAGTGTTGTAGAAGTGAAAACGGTGCCACAAACACAAGCCAAAAATCTAAACTGGGAAGCCACAAGACACTCAAACACACAGCAAGACCCTCAGGAAGCTCTGATTGACTCTGAAGTGGCCTGAGGCATAAGCAGGAGGCACAGATCATCTCAATCTAATACTTACATGTTTAAGACTGGCTTCACTGACAATACCTGTACAGAAAGTTCGAAGAGTTGTCATTTTGGTAGATGAAAGGGGAATTAAAAGGCTATTTATGAACAGCAGCAGGGTGAAGTTATAAAAGCAGTAATGTGAAATTAAGGAGTTTTCCAGCTTTTTTTACCATCGGGCCATTTACAGAATTACTTTCAAAAGCCCTCTGAAATACCCATTTCAATTCCCAAAGCTAACTGCTAGATACCACTCACGTCTGTCTAACACTGTCTGCAATAATTTCACTTGAAATATGGAACTGCAAAGATGATGGGATTCACCTCTTGCACTTTCCACCTGGATTGGCAGACTACTACAAAATGCCTATGCACAGGAATTCAGCAGCATTTTAACAAACTTGGTCTTCACCTCTCCAAAAATGACTGTACAGTACAGCTTGTTCCCCACAAAAAAAAGCATCTTTTAGATCCCTGACCAAACTACTGCATTTCTGCTTTGACAAAGCTTGCAGTGAAAATCATAATGCAGAATTAAAGAAATACCTTAAAGAGTGTATCAAAATTGATGTTCTGCTGTCCAGTAGCATTGA